AGGATACAGCTATCTTGCATAGTACCTGGTTGTGTTTTGCTTTTTGTTTTTTTAATACCATGGAGAATAGATAGAAGTTTCCTAACTTTTCTGTTTGCTGATACATTTGTTGTATCCACAGATTTATTAATTATAAAAACTTGTTTTTCACAAGGGGCCAGTGATTGTGTTTAATTTTCAAAAATTTTACACAGGCTACTTTCTATATTGTCATATACAGTTTGGCATAGTTACTTCTTCCTTGGTTTTTCGGTCTTTTGTTTTTTTGTTTTCATAGAGCCATTTTCTTTGTTTGGTTTTGTTTCTACATTCTGAAGCCTTCTAATTTAATTTATTTGGATTTTGTTATTTGATAAACTAGGTGACACTGCCTCACTTAGTTATCACCCAAACACAGCCTGAAGTCTAGAAAGGACTTGAGTTTCCTGGAACATACACATGGTGAATGATCAGAGGTTAAAAATAGTTTCTAAACTATTAACCAGATTAAGGGAAATAAAACAGCATTTAAAAATTTTCTATCTTCTCACTTGTATTATCTGTATACATAGCAATTATGAGAAGATGCTGATGTGCAAAATTGATGTGTATTTACACTGGGCAGTATTTACTTACAGTTAACTTGAGTGTAAACTAAAGAGAGAGAAAAAAATGATAACATGTTATTTTCAGTATTTATATTGTGTCATCTCCCCTCCCACCCAATTCCTTCAATTGTCTCCTAGATTAGAAATAAGTATTGTTTCTGTGAGTGTTTTTATTTGTTTGTTGGCTTTTTAGATTCCTCCCCTCCCATCACCTACCTTTGCCCGCTGGGGATAAAAGAAAATAATAGGGCACAATTTTTTAAATAGTTTTCAAGCTTTCAGATGATAGAGAGTCATTTTGAAGAAAGAGAAAACTGTATCAGACAGAATTTACACAGCACTATAGGGGCTTTTAACAGCAGTTGTTAATGCTAACGACATTTTCCCAGTTGCTGGTATTAAGGAACAGCAGGTCCATACTAGCTGCGTTCCGATGGCCCAAGCACAGCTGTATTGCTGCCATTCCCACAGGTTTGTGTGCACCTGGGATGGGCCACACCCAGTTGGTATCAGTCAACAGTGTATCACGCAGTGTGTTTTTTTTTAATTCATGATTTCCTCTTGAAACTCAGCTAAGGAGTGTTAACAGTGTGTGTGTACGTGTGTTTTTAAATTCAGTTTTGTAGGCTAGCATTCTTTAAATGTCTGCCAGAAGTTTAATTTGAATTTCTGATCCCTGAAGGCAGCTAGACAGAATCATTCTAGTTCTTCATAAATTGCCTTCTATGATTCATTGTTAACACATAAAATATACTCATTTCTATATACTCAAATAGTTAAGGTAGTTACAGTATCGGAGACATAATTTTTTTGGGGGGGGGCCTTATATTTAAATTGTCTTTTGAGAAAGAAATCAAGAATTAGCTTGAATTCTCAGTTAAGGCATGAGCCCTGCAGCGCACAAAACATCAGAAATGAATGTTTTTATCTCAAGGAGGGTAAGGTAGATGGCATGGGATCTGAAAAAAAAGTTTCATTTTTACTGAATACTCTCAAAAAGGGGCCCATAAATATTAGAGTCCTGTAGTTAAAAACTCACATGACTGTTTTAAATACTATTGATTTAAACCACTGGCTAGATTTTATGAATCAAAGTGTAATTTCTAAGCTTTGGCCATATTTCTCAGTGCTAAAGCACTCTCTCTTGTGTGCCTTTAGCCGCTTTCCAGACATTCAACACAGGATTAAATGATAGTAGTTACAGTCATCAATAGGTTAAGACTGCTACAATCACTCTTCCCGCTAATGACCTCAGGAGTAATGGGCAATAAAGTGTGGGCTGTAATAGCCTCTCGCTGGTACTGCATGCCCTTTGATTCCTAGTATTAGTAGGGACTAGCTACATGAAAAAGTTGGACGTTGGGAATTAAGGGAGTAGATATATAGGCTATAATTCTTAACTATTTAAAGCCTTAAACTGTGCTCGGGTTTTTTTTTTTTTTTTTCTTTTCTATACCCCACCATGGTTTCTGGTCCATTTGAATATGTTTGTTATAGCTTTTCATAACCTCCTTTCATGATATGTTGGAGCAGAAACTTTGGGGAAATCTCAGCTTTATTACATTTATAAATTAAGCTGGAGCCCACTTTGGAGGCCCAGAGCTAACTGGTGTGAAAATGTGGTTTCAGGTAGTAAAAGCAAAGTTAAGGCCATCAGGATATAATAGTCCACTTCTGAATATTCAGAGACTGATCGGCCAGGTTGGAGGATTACTCAGGCTTCTTGCTTCTTTCCCTCCTTTGACTCTGCCTGCTGCTTTAAGTGTTTTATTACTCATCAGCACCTCCATCAAAATGTCCAAAGGGAAAAAGAAAGGGAGACTCAAGTTCATTATACTGTTCTGTAACACGACTACAAAAAAAAAAAAAAAGAATAACTATGGGAAAAGGAGATTTAAACCATTGGCTCTATGTAAGCATTTAAAAATTATCTGTATATGTCAACCCATTCCCTGATCCCTTTTTTAAATTGCCAGTTGAGGGACAGTGGTATCTCTTATTTAAGAAGATGCCCACAATTGTACTAGAGTTTTTTAAAAAAAACCTATTTAGGATATATAATTTTTTTTTACTTTTTAAATTCAGTTATATTGAGGTATAAGTTATATACCATAAAATACACTCATTTTAAGTGTGTAGTTGAAAGAGTTTTGACAATTGTCTACATCTGTGTGACCACCACCCCCGTGAAGATACTGGGCATAAGTTCACTTGTGCCCTTTCACGCATAGGATTTCCCTAGCTCTTTTAAAATTTATGATCAGGAGATTCTTTTTATGATGATTTCTGTTATAACTCTGTTAAGTTCATGTTCATCACCAGTTTAGATTTTACACCACCCTATTCCTGTCTGTCTTCCTGTTCATCACCACCAGAAATTTGGCTCAAGAATATTTATGTTGTACATCATCCAAGAAACGCAGAGGAAAAAAGAAACCTTAAACATGTTTCTTTTGTTTGCTTAATCAAACCTCCCCGTATGATGATGCAACTCTCAAGGAAAAGTAAACTTCTATTGTGATATGTTGGCTTTAGCAGCTCAAAAGGTAGTGGTTGGCACCCAATTACATATTTAAAAATGCAAAAAGTTTCTTTTGTATGAAGTCAGAATAGACTAATTGGAATTAATTTGTAGATGGTTAGATGTTTTGATAATGTCTTCTTGGTGTTTGCCCTAGACTGAATGCAAGTTCACTGTTCCAATCATTGGTGATATTTTGTGCTACAAATTATCTTTTTAAAAGTATAATTTATCCATTCATATACATCTGTCCCTTTTGCATATAAAAATATTCAGACATGCCCATCTGTTTTAAATTACAGTGTATCTACATCTACACTTAAAAGGCCACTGCAATAGGAGGAATTCATGAATGACCTTCCAGAGTTAGGTTAATGAAATTTTTCGAATGTTCTAACTAGTGTTTTCTAAACAAGAGAAACTCACACATCAACATCCCCACACACAATCCATGCCCACAACAACAGTGGGGAATGTTCACTGTACATGAATCTGACCTTCAGGAACCATTTTTAGTTCATCAAAATTAGTGATGCTGAGAAATCGGGACATCAGTGCATAATGACTGTGAAATTAGGAATGAGAGTTCGCTATGCAAATGACAGGACAAATCATGTGAAAAAGTCAAGATAAACTGCATATTAAGACATTATGTTACATAAAATTAATACTGCACTTCTTTTTGCTTACTGCTTCCCTGAAAGATTTTTTAATTCTTTTATCTTCTGATCAGCTATTGTCTGCTGGATTTTTTTTTAAAGTGGCATACAGGCAAAGTGCAAAACATGTTATTACCTTTTATTGTAATACATGAGATGACAGCAGATCCTTTTTAACAAAGTATATCCTTTACTGCTTCTTGTTTCTTGCTGTCACATGTTTGATTAGAAACCAAAGAACAGTAAGATGCTTAAATATTACTCTTAGAAGACATCCAGGTTTTGTCTTTTCTTTCATTGTTTTTTTCTTTCCTTAACCTTTTATGGGGGGGTGTTCATGAAATAGTCTTCTTGCATTACGGGGACTGACAAAATGGTTCTCATGTAGTCTGCAAATTAAACACAAGTGCAGTGATTATTTTGAATAGCTAAATTACATTCTAGAAAGCTTGCAGAATTCATAGCATTGTCATTAGGTATCCGCTTGAATACAATTTGTGTAACCTTGGCCAAGACAGCCTGTCATTTTAATGTCAGTGTTTTATCTGAACAAGACATCATCCTTTCAGATACAGTGTGCAGGTTCCTTGCAAAGATGCCCGTGCAGAAACGTGTTAACAGTTGCAAATATGAAATGCTATCAAGTTCATCACTGTAGCTGTTTGTCACTGAAATGTCATGGAAAGCGGCTTTTAATGGTATTGCACATAATATGAAAGAATTGAGACATCTGCATGCTGCATGAATAAGGAAGGGTAAAAGGCATCACACGAAGGGTCTGTGTTTTAAGTTCGGAAGGTGTGTCCAAGGTTCCGTTACCCGCAAGACTAAGCAGTCACCTGCAAGACTAAGCAGTTATTGATTGTTCTTAAAATCACTGTCTGCAGAGGAAGTTGGTCACATTAACTCTAGCTGCAAAGATATTGGTTCCCATTTGCCTTCTTCCCTAAAACAATAATTCACTTGTGGGTTAACTTCCTACAGCTCGGTTTGACCAATACTGCCTGGAAACCTCTGTCATTGCTGTGAGGTTTTTTTTATTTTTCTTTATTTAAAATAAACTCCCTAATAGACTAAAAAGGATTTGTTGTTGCATCCCTTCTTGATTAAAAACGTTTTGCATGGGAAATTGGTCAGTTCTTAAAGCACGCTGATGGCAGTCTGCCACTGAACCTGGGAGGCCGCGTGCTTGTGATTTTCTGGCTTTCTATTTATCCTTCATTAACATTCTAGGTTCCCGTGTCAGTGGCTATGATGACACCTCAAGTTATCACTCCCCAGCAAATGCAGCAGATCCTCCAGCAACAAGTGCTGAGTCCTCAGCAGCTCCAGGTTCTCCTCCAACAGCAGCAAGCCCTCATGCTTCAACAGGTAATCATCCTTCCTCCAGCATCCCACAGAACCCAGGCCCAGCATTCCATTCAAATTTCCCCTCCACCTGAGCAGCCCCTTTTCCCATTGAAGAATAAGCAGAGCAGGGTGGGTAGGGCATACACAATCTGGTCCCTGAATAATCGATTATATTTGCATCCCTGAAAGAGAGGAGCCCTGCCAGAGTGACTAGGGCTTGGGCCTGGAGAGTACCCGATGGACTTAGATTAGGGCTGTAATTGGACTTGGTAAAATGAGATCTTTAAGGCTTACATGGCTTTACACTCTTTTATTTGATAAGCCCAGAGGCTTCTAAATGGTGTGAATCAAGGCAAAATGAGGAGCAAGTTGGGAGCAGGTTTAAATATGACAGCTCTTGAAGTCCCCATTTTAACTCAGAAGCTTGCAGAACTTAAAAACAAAAAAAAAAAGCATTTTGGAGTTGGTTAATTTTAAGGTGCAGAGTTGATTTTACTACTTCTATGTCTGCTCGTGATGGAATGAACTTCTGGCTATCCTTATGCCATGGGGACCTAATATTCAGACATAATGGGCATGTGAACCAAGTAGATGAGATTCAGTCCCCTGTGGTGGTGGGAACTACTGGCATGGGGTGGTGGGGACAGAGTACAGAGGAAGTTCCCAATACTCCCAGTGCACACACGGAACACAACACTCCATACAGCCCAACCCTATCATTTAGAAAGCATGATGTAGAGATTCACCAGACTCTCTCAGCAAGGGCATTTTGGCTTTGTTGTACAATCAAAGGTCATTCCTTGCCTTATTTTAATTAGTTTGTGCAGAAAATGGTATGTTTTTCATCAGTTCATTTTGTAGATTACTTTTCAAACAATAATGCCAAGGATAGTCAGTGTACGCTGAATTTATTGTCAAGTTTCAAACTAAAGGTCAGGCTGTTACAGATAAAAGGATGCTATTTTTCAAATCACAGTTTGTGTATGGCACCGAAAGGGACAGTGTGTTGGCACTACCCTCTGTTACTTACCGTCGTCTCTTTCTTTTGTAGCAGCAGCTTCAAGAGTTTTATAAAAAACAACAGGAACAGTTGCAGCTTCAACTTTTACAACAACAACATGCTGGAAAACAGCCTAAAGAGGTACCAACAATACATATTTTACTTTCAAACCACAGATCCCAGAGGACTATCTAGTGGCTATTAAACTGTCATTCATCTTTTAAATGATTGCACAACTGAGCTGACTCTATCGGTTCTCAGCTTTCAGACTGAGAGTTATTGTCCTGTTTTCGCTCAGATTTTTCTGGGTTCCATTTGCTTGCTGCCACATATTTTATGAGACTGCTGCACGTGTACCTGTGTGAGGATCGGGAAGAGGGATTGTGGGCAGAGCCTTCGGGGCTCCTTTTGCAGACTGGTACAACTGAGGGCCAGGATGTAGCTGGGAGAAGTGAAGTAAGATTGTGCTTGGACGCACACTCACATTTTTTTTTTCCAGCTCAGAGAGCTTGGGTGTGTGGTGACAGCCTTTTCCACTGGAAGAATAACCTCTTGTGAGATTGGACTAACAAACAGAAAAGTTAGAACAAGATGAACATCCCCATCTTGGTGTAACTTCTTCCCGCAAGTTGCACATGTCATGACTGCTAAAGGCATGTACCAGATAGCACGAGTTAAAGTTAGAGAAGATGCCAGCTTGGGTTGTTTTCCTGTGGGAAAAAAAAATAGCATGTTATAATAGCTTCTGTGCACACAATAGTGTTCATAGTTGTTGCTTTATATGCTACACCACCTGCTTAGGTTGTCAGTATTAGTCCCATAAATGATCAGGCCTTTCCAGGGGCTTTCCATTTCACCTTCCATACAGTTCCATGTGGGTGAGGCTCAGTCACTTGTGGGAGGATCTATGCACATGCATGTATTATGATATCTTTCTACTCATTCCAGAGTTATCCAATTTAACTTGCCTCCTCATATTTTTACACTGGATTGCAATTCTTTTTAAGTATTCTCCTTGGGATGACATAGTCTATAATTCTGTAAACAGCACATTGTCCAATTCTTCGGCTTTTTCACCAGCCCTAAGCAGTTGGCCACTTTGGTTCTTCTGGGGAGAGTCTTGTCAGGTGACTCTGCACGTCTGTGTTCCTCACATAAGAGTGGATGCTGAGCAGTGCTAATTTTATACCCTGGTAGTGACCCAGACATTCTCCCTCTTCTGGCTCCTCCCTCTACACAAATCGGGTATGTTTTCCATACCTTGCCAAGTTTTTGCCCTGGAGTCCTGTTTAGCAGCCTGGGTGTAAACCCCTGCAGCGTAGGGGCGGTTTTGGGGTGAAGGGGAGGAGGTGTTTTAATGAAAATGCTGACACAACCTTAAGTACAGTGGCGCGCTACCGGGTGCTGCTATAATAAAAAAGGGAACAGATTAAAAAGTGTCTAAAATGTAAATCTAAAGGACTAACAGTAATTAAAATGGAAATGGCACAGGGAGGGAAGGCATGTAATTGTGAGATATCACTGTGCAGAAGGCTCTCAGCTTTGTTTTGCTGGCTGTTTTTCTAATTCAGCAGGGCTTACTCATCAGTGGCAGTTCAATGCGCGTTAATGACTCTGGGATTGCAGGCATCACTCTGGACAAAGAAATGATTATTGTGCGGTCAAAAGAAGTTCAAAGACAAGAAGGGAATTTCAGTTTTTTCCTTAGAGATCCACATTCAAGAGCATATAAATTAAGCCAAATGTTAAAAACCACAGTCTGAAAGCTGACTTCAAAGTCACAACTCTCTAATTAATGAACTGCGAGCTTCAGTTTGGACAAGTTGTGGTTTGATGCGCCCATAAATCAACATGACAGGCCTGTTTCACAGTCTCAGACAGTGCTTGTCATTGAGTCACATCAGATGTAAACACAGCAGAAAAAAGAAGGGATATGGAGGAGGTGCGATTGATCAACAGAATTGGTAAAAACCCACTTTTGAAGCACATTATGCATGATCACAGGAAATGGTTACAGCCTCAAGAGGTTTCCCCTTCTGCTGTTGCTTTTTTGAATCAGATTTCTAACAGCCTTCAAAAGGGAGAATAAGAATTATGGAGTTTCTCCCCTGTGGCTCGCAGGCAATAACCCCCTGTTGTTATTTTGTGCTTCTTTCTTTTCAAAGGCATCAAAATTTAGTTTTTTAAAGATCTTTAACTCTATATTTGAAGACAAACAAAAAAGGGCTGCCACTGCCATTCTTATCAGTTACCGGGGATTGTGTTTTTCCTTTCTGTTGCCACTTGTTATTAACCTCTTATTTGGTCTGTTAGACATAGTTTGGAATGCACGTCTGCATGCTGGGAGAACATGAAAGTTCAGATGAGCTCAGAGGGCAGATAAAGAAATGTGAAGGGGAAAGTTACACAGCAGAAAGAAGGATAAAAGTTAACTCTCCCAAATTGCTGTTGTCAGAAAGGGGAGCGTCTGCCAGCACAAAGATGATGGCGTTGTCTGAGTTTGGAAAGGGAGTTGGGGGCGAAAAGAGAGGATACTTTGTGTCCAAATGGGGAGAAAGTGAGACATTGTAGTAGCATTTTAGCATCTCCAAGACACTAGGTTTGCTGTGGCCCGTCCTTTGATATCCATTCCGCAGGCAAAGGTGACCCAGGAGACATGTTGCCTTGAATATCTTTAGAGGTGGGCAGACCAGTGGACAGATCTCCTTGGACTTCACTGTGTGTTCATGGTGCCAGGGGATTTGGCCGAGGCCCGTCGTAACAATGGTTAGGAGATCCTTGTTTTCCTGAAGTAAGGGGCTAGTCTCCTAAAATTATCATGCAGGTGGCAGTGGTCCTTTTATGCTAAAATGAAATAGAGTCACATGGTAGCAATTTCATGATGTGGACTGGTGGTTATGATTTTAACAAGGTTTGAACTTGGATGTTGACAGATGGGACAAGTGTATTAATTTACTGAATCCCCAGTCATTAGTGGCTCATAATTTTGTATTGTCAGTTTTTTTGCATGCGGCGCCCCCCCCCCCCTTTTATTTCATGATGTGGACTGGTGGTTATGATTTTAACAAGGTTTGAACTTGGATGTTGACAGATGGGACAAGTGTATTAATTTACTGAATCCCCAGTCATTAGTGGCTCATAATTTTGTATTGTCAGTTTTTTTGCATGCGGCGCCCCCCCCCCCTTTTGATTACCTGTGCAGTAAGAAGCTTGATCCTTGGCCAGAGAAATGTACCTTCGCTCTTTTCTCCTAAAGTTGCCCTAAGATGTTTCCTTGGGGAAGTTTGGCTCCACATTGGTTAGACCTAAGACCTTCCTTAGAAAATAGACTCTTTGGTGGGGGAGGGGGATGTAGTCCAAAACAGCTATTGGAGCGACTGCTTGTTAATATTTGACAGAAGTGGTGTGGAAAATAGATGGCAGAATTCATTTTAAATCAAGCTGCAAAAAAAGATCCCATCCTGTGCGGGCGAGGTAGGCTAAGTTGATTGTTTTAAAAGGGCCATTTGTCCCAGGCAGTTATGACAGTTTATGTTAGGCAGTAGGGAGTAGCCGAAGAAAGGAAAACAGACCTTTGACTGCAGCTCTAGGGAGGGGATCCGAAATGCAAGGTTTATCAGGGCATTTTAGCATTTTAACACTGACTACTGACCTGTCGAGGGGACTGCTCGGAGACCTTTTTTGTATGCATTCAATTGTGAGAAGTAAACAAACGGACTCGTATCCTGTGTTTGGTAACTGGGTGGGGAGCACAGTTTGGCAACCAGTGTTGCTTTTAAATTCTTTCTTTGGACAATGGGCCTTGTATACTTTTATATCCTGGCTTTTCAAACGTGGACAGCTTTCATGAGTTTTTCCTAGGGATGGCCACAGAGACAACAAGAAAAGGCATCAGTCATTTTATATAAATACAAAATTTTTAAACATTTCATTTACAGTAAGTCCGGAAAACATCCTCCCCAACCTTCAGCCCCTCTCCCCATTATATTTTACTTCAAGAAGAGCTAATTCCCTGATCTTTTATTGTGTCAATGTTGTTTTCTCTCTTTCCATTTTTTGTTTTTTAATGTCGTGAGTTAATACCTGTAGAGGAAGTGAAAAAATCATTTTGACATGAATATGGCTATCATTGGGTTTTACATTAATGTGATAACTTGGGAAGGGGTGAAAACAATTGGATCATTTTATGCATGCTGTTCTTAAAATGAAAACACTGGCTTTTCATTTAAATTTATTTAAATTTTTGTTGTTAGTGGTATAGAATTTGTTTTTCGGAGTGAAACTCAATTAACTTTCTCAGTGGCATGGTAGTAAGTCTGAAATTGGTTGCTAATATGAGAATGATGGTTTTTACTGTAAAGGAAACTACATGGAGACTGAAAGAAAACCACCATTTTTATTTTTCTTTGAACTTTGCATCAGAAGGTCTTGATATACACACCATTTTATGGGTGTATCAGATCAAGGTCATGTGTTAGGTTAAGTGAATGGAGTTGTTTGTAAAGTATAGTTATTAACCAGAACACACGGGTTCTGAAAGAATTGGATAGTCCTTTTAGTTACAAAAGTCTCTCTGATCTTTTGGGTAATACCCAGAATTAGGAAAACTGATTTTGTTTTTTTGTTGACGAATCTTTACTTTCTGGTTTTTGGCTACAGTTTGGGAAGGGTTAATTTTCCTTTCATAATTGTTAGCCATAATGTGGCTAAGACCTCCACCTCGATATGATTCCTAGCAGATTAAGGATATTAGATAATTTCCTTCTATTTATTGTACTACTGCACTGTATTATCTTTCTATCACTCAGATAATTACTGAGGAAATCTACATTAATTTTTTTGGCTGGAGCAAGGCCTGCTAAATACAGGAATGATGTATTCATGTTTTACACAACAAAAGTTTTCCTCCTGTCATTGTCCAATCAACAAAAAGATATTTATCATATCGTAAATCCCCTTCTTTTCAAGAACAAAGCTGGTGGGGGAAGCAAGACTAGCAAGCAGACCTGGGGGTTTCTGAGACTAAAGCCAAGTTAAGGCATCTGAAGCTTGGAGTGTCGTTCATATTAAACACTCATAGTTGAGTACGATGTTGTTTGCTAAATTATGAATGTGTGTAATTAAAATCTAGTGGCTGTTTCTATGAAAGATTTACAATGTTATTTCATCGTTTGTCATGGCTAATTAACAATATTAGATGAAGTTTTTCTTCTTCAAAGGTCTGATTTTTTCTCATTTATTTATGTCAGAAGTGATAAACAGAGCAGTTAAAAGCTTCTGCCAGTGCAGGCGGGGAGGGAGGCACCTTGTTCCTTTACACTCCCAAAAGTTCAGGGTTCAGATCCCTCCAGACTAGAGTGATGCAGTCTTCTTTCTAGTGCGAATAATTAAACATTTTAAAGTCTGAAAGTTCACTCCTTAACTACAAAACTCGGGCTTTTCAAACTGTAGGGAAAACTGGCTTGATTGATGAATTATTTTTCCATGGGAGCAAGCAGGAGAAGGGTAATACGCTCACCTCCTCACTTCTCTTCAGAGGTGGTATGTTTTGTCCCTTTTAAACCTTGACATTGCGCCCTCCACTGAGCTCTAATGACCATTCTCAGTATCTGACGATGACGGTGAGTTTTGAAACGTCCATACTTTTAACCTTCCTTGGGAGGTGGCCATCTCATTTTTTTCTCCCTGATTTCTTACAGCAACAGCAGGTGGCTACCCAGCAGTTGGCTTTTCAGCAGCAGCTTTTACAGATGCAGCAGTTACAGCAGCAGCACCTCCTGTCTTTGCAGCGCCAAGGCCTTCTAACCATTCAGCCTGGGCAGCCTGCCCTTCCTCTTCAACCTCTTGCTCAAGGTATGCGTTGATTATACAGAAGGCACAGCTCTGTTAAGACTGGGTGGAGGTGGTGGAGTCTCTTGGCATATTCCAGCTTGTCTTAAAGGAAAGGGTTCATCTAAAACATGTATACAGTAACTTTTTTTAAAAAGCTGAGAGTAGTAATGATGAACTCTTGGAGAAGTTGAAGTGCTTGTTGATGCCAAAGTGAAGACTTCGGATGATCTGAACTTAATAGCAACAGAGTGATCCCATTGTTGCATGTTCTTGGAGTAAAGGAGTGAAATGCTACTTTGCACTTACTGAGCATTTTAATATGGAGTCTTCCAGCATTTCAGTTTGGGAACCACAAAGGAATTTTATTGTAGGCTATTGTTATTTTCAGACATATTTTATGTAACTTGCTCTATTTTAAATTTTAGGATTACCTTATAAATGCCATTTTTTAATATCTAGAGATAAGTTCAGGCTTATTTTTCTACAAATGATTAAAATCAATCTCTGTTACAAAGCCAAGGTTGGAGTTTGTTTGGTTTACTTTTTTTTTTTTTTTCTTTCTTTTCACGCTGTTCTGTTGATTTTTGAGCAAGCTGGTTGTACATTCATCAGAACGGATGCCATTTCCATCTCCAGTTCTTCTCCAAAAACTGGGATTCCTTGAAAAGTAACAAGATTTTATGGATTTAGTGAATTTATTTTGAAAAGCCACTGACCATTTATCCCAAGTGTGTTGGACATGAGAAACAAATGGGAACTCTAGGTGTTTTTAGAACATCTTGGTTTGAGCCACTTTGACTTCCACTTATGTAATGGGAAAGCATGTGGATTATTCAGAACTACATAGAAGGAAGGGAGGAGAAAGTGTCATGCTTGTGTTTAAAAATGCCATTCCACATCTCATACATGGTATGTTATTTACATGGTAAATCTCATAGCAGATTTCATTTGCCTCCTTAAGGCCTGCAGTCTTTTCAGTTCTAGTAGCTTCGAATGTTTGTATATTATGTGCCTTAAAGTCTGGTAGCTAAAGCCTTTGGTGTTTTGGATTCTGTTTCTATCTGAAGACGTTTGAAAATGTGAAACCTCCGTTGTGTTGCTTAAAGCGTGGACATTTGTTTAGTAACTGTTGGTGTCAAGTGGAGCTGGTGAAGCATGCCTGTATTTGAATCTTGTGCCTTGAGGCAGTCACACCCAACTTCTGTCCCTTATGGGGGGTTTTGTTTTTGTTTTCATGTTGAGGACTAGGATTTTTGCACCTTTAACTTCTCTTTTGCTCCTCCGCCCCTTTCTGCCATGACCGCTGAACTGCTTGATACAGAACCAGCATCTCCTCCATTGCTGTCAAAATAGAACATCAGGTAGCTGAGCAATACGAGGGGAAAAGAAAAGACACATTGGCTAATGCAATTCTTTGCTTGCAAATGTTATAACGTGCATTAATTACACCTTCGGGTTTATTGTTGGAAACGTGGCAGGCTGTTCTCACACACCCACCGGACTCAAGCTCCAACCTCTCTCATCTGTTCCCACCGCTCCTATACTATTAAGTTTGCTCACTAAGGTTCATTGTTATAGTACATCAGTTAAGCTGTCCAAAAGAGGGCAATTGGGCAGTGACAAGACAAGCTCATGTGTAATGTGAAAGAAATGAATGTGGTGATGCATGAAGTGTAATCTCTGTGGTAACATATCAGAGACACCGGTAGGTAATTCACTAGCCATGGCATTGATTGATATGCTTAGCAGTCTGCTGTAACTATTAGCCCCTGCAACATTAGGAAGAAGTATATTTAAAATCTAAGGGGTGTGTGTATGTGTGTGCCTGAGAGGACATTAATATAAATATAAATATTTCTGGAGTCAGGTTCCTGCAGTAAAGTGAACTACCTACCAGTGTCGTTGCCATCTCGTGAATCAGAAGGTTGGTTTTGTCTCCCCACCCCCTTGCCCAAAGTGGCTTGAGAATTCAGTCATGTTGGACTACAGCACAATTTTTTTTTTTTTATCAGAGAGAGATGATGGCTTAAAACTGATGTCATTATGAGGTTTAAATCAACTTTCTGCTTGCTTGAACATGGTCACCTGGGTATGGATGCACAAGGACAAAAAAAGGTTGATCAACTCTGTTTGTCTTCGAGCCAGGGATACCTGGGGTTGTAAAATTGAGTTCTAGGAAAAGTAATCTGTCAACTGTCCCCACAACTACATTTTTTAAACCCGTGCCTGCATTCTCTTTTCTAATGAAGGCGCCAGTTGTCCTGGAAAAAGAAATGCAGCAAGGCACAGGGGTTATCTGTTAAAAATGCTGGTAATGCCCACGTTATAATAAAATCACCAAGATTCTTTTGCATACCTGTTTATGGCCTTGGCTAAATTACCTTAAACGTGTATGTAAATGTCAAAGTATAGGAATAGATTGAGAGTAATATTTTGAAGGCCTTTTTTTTTTCCCTAAAGGTTTTATATTATGAAATGCAGGGATTTTTGTTGTTGTTATTTTTAAGGTTATTGCAGGGTCTTCTCTCTGTTTTACATAATTAGCATATCTGTTTTTCACCCTGGTCTCTTTAATCATCTCTCTAGCACCAGTAATTTCATATAGAAATATTTTTTCAGTATCATTCTGACCTTTTAATTTTTAAAATGTAAACTCTAGTTGGGAGAAAATTACATGTTTGGTTATGTACCTGTTAATGGCTTTGATTAACTTGGTACTATTCATACTCCCCCATTTTGGGAGAAAAGCATGCTTTCTGGAAATTTGGTATCCTTTTAGTCTAATGAGTGACTAGCTTACCTTTTACCTGTCTTCATTCTGTCATGAGATCTTGGCTGTCAAATAACAGCATCCTTTGGTTGAACCAACAGTTTAACATCACTAACAAGGTGTGGCATCCATGGAGGAGAGCAATTTGGCTGTGTGTCGTCCCCCCCCCCCCCCATTAAGTCCGATGATAATGTTCTTAAATGTAATTATCACATTGCAATTTGACCCAGAAGTACTGCTGTTGTCACTCAGTGAGTTAACCATTTCTCCCCTATGGATGATAAAACTGATTTGGTACCTCACTGGAATAAAAGGAGCGTAGAGTAACATTAATGTACTCTGTAGGTGTTACAAGTGTTGAATACATTTGTCTTTGGCATTGTTTGCTGGATAAACAGCATACCTGTAAAACAGCTTCAAAGTTCTGCTTTTCTTGGAGGGAAAGTGTTAACCCAGTTGCTTGAACCATGTTCTTCCAGTCTTCCTACGTCCCATGCAGCTGACCCAGAAATCAGTTAGTTCTAGTTGAAAAAAGAGGCAGCTTCTTTTCATGTGTTTACTCCCTAGAAAATAAAAATAGGTGTTGACTTACGTGCTTGTATATCAATACGCTATCATCAACAGACAAGCCTATTCACTGTTGTTTCAATTGAGCAGACAGTGGCCCAAGGGTCAGCCATATTCACAGGTAATTGTTGGTATGTAAACCACAGTGGCAGCCTGTTAGCTCCAAACGCATCCCACCTGTCACTTCGAAAGGTATTTGAAAATAATAGCCCAGATGCAGCAAAACTGGACAAGGGATTGTGTAGTGACCTTTCCCTTTGTTTAATTTGCCTCCGAGGTTTAATTTCAGGGGACAAGTAATAATTGAATATGCCTAATAACTAAATGCTCATTTGGGACAAAATCCATCAGAATATAATTGGCATTTGATTTTTATGAAGGGAGAAGAAAACTGGCTTGGCTGTCAAGGATGCATTCTAAGAAAATCTGACCACTTAATGTATCATTTGAAGCCTCCTTTATAATATATATAAATTGCAAATACTTAAGCATTTGAACATTTTCGTGGAGAACCCGTTAGAAGAGACCAACTGTTTTTGTTAACACTCCTCTCAGAAAGGCGGGGAAGGTTATTGGTCTGCTGTGCAATAATTTACTCCTCTTTGATATGCAAACGATCCACGGTGAATATAAAAAAATCCTATCAGACTCATTTCACAGTTCTTAACCACTCGGATTCTCTGGAGTCCATCGCCTCATTAGACCAGTGCTCTCCAATGCTAGCATAATTAAAATCTTTAACAGTTTAGCAAAGTAAAGATGTTTGGCTGATCACGTTGAGATGATTATCTATCCATTGTATTCTAAATGACAAAAATAAATTAAATTTAGACCTTGGCATTTTTTATTATGTGTTTCAAATGAATATAATGCACACAGCCTCCTTTTTTAATTCAATACCTTAGGTTTGGTAAGAAACATGCCTGTTTCGGCTGCTGCTATATATTCAGAAAATGGCTGGCTTTCTAGGATGGCTATGTTACAGTTGATTGAAACAATGAACTGCAATCCAGATGTCCAATTCGAATGCGGAATTGCCTTGTGATGTACAGGGTTCATGATTTCTTTTCAGTGTTCTTCCAAAGGAAGCTGCTGCTAGTAGTGGTTAGTTGTTGTTAGTTGCCATTCAGAATACATTTTTTTCTGTGCATGTATGCACTAGAATGTGCATTGAGGTGAGATTTGGAAATCCTGGGCTGTAGGGGCATGCTGCCTAAGACTAAGAGGCCCACAGTAGTGAGATTGACATACTGATTAGATCTCTTCTTGGGGAAAAATACAGGTTGAAACTTAGTCTTTAAAACCCTTGTCCATTTTGACCCCCTGAAAAAAGCAAGGGAACTTTATTACTCCACGTTTATTTTACGTTTTCATTTTATTCTGCAATGGTTCATTAGCATTGATCTAAGAAATGACAGTAATAATAGTGTTACTTGTATAAAAAGTTATACAGTTTTTCAGTAGACACATCCATCAATTAAGCATGTGGTACAAGAAACCAAAATTAATGAGGAAGATAGGTGTGTTAATGAAATAATCATAGTATAATCAATTTGACTGTTAAAAGTTGAAAAGCATTTCAGGGAGACGATATGAATTCATAATTTATGTCTAAAAGTGATTAATAAAAACTGTATTTAATAACAAAGCTATTTGTCATCATTTGAGACTTAAGCACAAAAATTATTCATTTCGTGGTTCGTGTTGTCATAACAGTATAGTTGAATAAATTTATTTTGAGCCCTTCTTTGTGTCTAAAAATAAGGTAACATCTATCTACTTTTTTTAAAAAATGGAGAAACAACATTTTGGATGGAGAGAGGCATACTGTTGTTGCAAAGTAACTGTGTTTCGAATCCTTTTCTCGGGTGTCTTTTCTGTGTGATGAGGACACTTCAGCTCAGCTGCTCCGTAGGAGGACACGCTTCTTACTACCGTATTTGCCTTAGTTGGGAGGGAAAAAAAAAACTGCACACACCAAAAAACCCCCCTAACACTAGGCTTTGTTTACTGACTCTTTGATTTAATTACTGTTTGAAGAGGACGGAATTAGCTGTTAATTGATTTAATTATCCAATTTGTTTGTTTCAGGCATGATTCCAACAGAACTGCAGCAGCTCTGGAAAGAAGTGACAAGTGCTCATACTGCAGAAGAAACCACAGGCAACAATCACAGCAGTTTGGATCTGACCACGACATGTGTCTCTTCCTCTGCCCCTTCCAAGACCTCCTTAATAATGAACCCACATGCCTCTACCAACGGACAGCTCTCAGTCCACACTCCCAAAAGGGAAAGGTAGGAACAAGCCACTGAGATGTGCCCAAAATGGTCTTCAACATGGGAGGAGTGGGTGGTCTTGCTGTATCTCAGGGGTCCCTAATTGGTTCCATGTGACTAGAATGTGCATGTGATTACTTAAGAATGTATTCAATATGGTTTGGGTTTGAAGCATCTAATTATTTTCACCTTTTCAACATGGAATTAGCACTTAGATGGATCTACTCTTCAGCTTAGGAACCTGGGCAGAAGTCTTGTAGTTCTTCATTGGATGGGTTGGGTCTCAAGGTTTCCAGGCCTCCTCTTTCTGCCAAGTGGTCACTCCATACGAGCTGAATTCCTTGGCTCTAAGTGCCTTCTAGGGCAATAGTGGTGTCTGCTGTGGGCAATGTTGAATCATGGTTTGAGAAAAATTAGAATTTACATTACTCCACAGTGCCTTCCTTGAAGGCAGAGAGCTCGTCTTTTGCATTGTTGTGTCCCCAAAGGACATGACCTTTTCTGTATAGACACTGAGTGAAGGTTTGAAGGATAGAGAGATGGAGGGTGCATTGTATGTACACATCCCAACACGTATAGCACACTTTCTCCTGATCGTGAGATACATTGTAGCACTGTCTCAACTACTGTATTTCTATTTAGAAGTTAAGACTTTATGTTTTAAATTGCCCTGAGTTTCACAGGAATGTTAGTTGAAGCTGAGATTGTTTTAGAGATCCGGATTATGTCATGTGAGCGTGGAGTTCTAAGAAAATAAAGCTGCTAATTCATGTTATTGTATTTTAGCACCCAGAAGTATTAATACTGCTGTTGAAATGCTTTTCAAAAGTGGAATATGTACTGCTCCTAAAACTGAAAACTGTTACTTAGTTTACTGTTTTTAAACAGTTTCCTGTATTTTTCATATGCAGCACTTCCACACACAGAAGAAAAGAAACCTTAAATGTAGTTTGTGATAGCAAATGCCATTTTCATCAGGAAAAAGCAATTTTTTTTTTCAGTAAAAATGACTTTGTGGAAATTTTATTAATAATATATTTCAGTAGAGCAATTACAAATGTAATTTCATTTACTTCTCAAAATATATTAAGCTCACTGGTTTGATTAGATGTGTATCTTTATGCCAGAGAAATATTATCTGAATTATATACACACACACACATATACACACACGCACACACACACATATTTATATGTATCATATTCAAGCATAAAAAACATGAACAGTTGCTAGAGATGAGGATAATATATATGTTTTAACCAAAATTTGCAACTATCCTTTTAAGATCATTTTGGAATTTTTGTGGCAGACATCAAAGAACTAAAAGATGCTTTAAACTTACTGTTTTGGATGAGTTTGAAGAACAGAATGGTGGAAAGTAAGAATCAGTTTGGAGTCATTGGTCAAAATGTGGTTTCTGTTGTTTCCAGTGGGGATAGGTATGTGTGTCTGGAAGCCAATCTTAAGTCTTGCTTTATAATCTCTCATAATGTCTTTATTATTATTATTATTATTTTCAAAATAGAAAACCTTAGATAGCTTTAAAGAAAAGATTCTAGGCTGTTGTCCTTTGCTGTACTTGCTTTTGGTGTCCTAAGGTTGAAGCTGTCCATTTACTACTGCAGAGTGATTGAATTACATCTTTATCCATAGGCAGAGCAGGAGGCATACACTGAAAAATGCGACTGATGCACTTAAGGTATTTGTTGCAATCTTGTCGGCCGTTGTGGAGCCTGCACAGATTTCCTGTGACACAGAAAACTCTTCTTGTTTAGATGCACTGTGCTCAGTTTCATTCTAAAAGGTTATATATCTGCAGTCAGGAGATAGATTAGCAAGAAGGCAAGCCGGAGAAGAATAGCCCTTTTCATGTCATAAGGCACATTTGAAAGTGAATGGATCTAAGAGACTGTCTGATTCCAGGAGACTAAATTTGTTTGATTTTTTTTTTTATGGTCCTTATTTGCACCAAGTTTTACTTAATCTTCATTGTATTACACACCAAAATTAGAATATGGATCAAAAAAGAATTCAGATTCCAATGAGCCTTAATCTGGATGTAAAAAAACAGCCGTTTTCCAACTGTACATGCAAAGAGGAAGCAACTGTGAGATTATATGCCACTATTTAATCTCCTGAATCTCTCAGTTTATATTATCTGGTAGATTCCTAGACGTGGCTGGATTAAAGGAAAATTCTAGTCAGCACATTTTAACTGAATGGAGCCAACAAAATAAATGAGCACCTTAAGTTAAAGATATCTCAAAAGTTTTAAGCTGATAGAATTCATCATTTAAAAAAATTAATTAGTAGTTAGCTAGCTTTGCATACATATAGGTACTTAAAATGAATATTGTGTGGCATTACCTTATAATGGTTAATTTAAAAATCACGTGTGATATCCAGTTTAAATAGTATAAAATGGTAAAAAATAATAGAAAAAAGCTGTCACTTGTACACTGAGCTGTTGATTGTCTCAGGAGTTCCTTGTCACTGCCTTGGAGAAGTTTCATCTGTTATTCACCAATGCATTTGTGAGATATATATCCTTCCAAGCTCTCCCTTGATTTCCATGTAATATTTTTTTTCCCTTTATTCTCATGGAGCAGTATCTGAATAAGCAAGAGCCCTTGCCCCACCAAATAATAATCAATCCCCACAAACTTGATCTTGGGTTAGCGGCTTTAAGAATTTTTTCTGAAACGTCCTGGGAATGCTTTATGTGAAAATTTGTTGGAAAAATAGTATTATGAGAGGTTTTTGTTTGTAAAGTGGTGAGATGTCTAATAATTTCAGCTGAGTTGCTTATTTCCATGCCATTTGGAAAACTCCTTCTTCTGCCCCCACTCACCTTGCCCCCATGCATTTTGCTGGCTCCTGAGAGCAGCTGCTGTAGCGGCAGCTCTGGGGTTTGGTGAGCTGCTGCAGTCTGTTAAGGAGATAAATAATGTGCCTGGCACGACACTCTTACTCTCCTCTTTAATTTGTCTTACACAAGGAAAATTGTAATTAAATCATTCAGGGTAAACCCTTGAGTGTAGAAAAGGGAAAAAACACTCTTTGGTAAAGATTGCCAATAGAAACCCACTTCCCTGTTGTGCAGGGTAGAGACATTTATCAATATTCAGCACTGTTACAGGAGGAGTGGCCCATGTGATTTGTGAGGCGGATGCCAGCGCTCAAATCAAGGCTTGTTAAGATCCTGTCCCTGTGCAATCACGGACATTCAGCATCATTAGAATTCAGTACTGGCGCTGTGCTTCGTGCTTTGATTTTCTCCGACAATTTAATAATGTTTATTGCGCCGATTATATATAAATTCATTGGTGCAATAAACATACCTCTGTTGTCAGTGCCTGAGAGAAGCAAGGTAGGGATCAAGTTCAACAGGCAGAGGCTATGAGGGAGCCACAAGAGGAAGCAGGTGCATTCAAGCCTCTTACTGTCAGTTTATTCCCCAGGAGCAGGGAGTCTTAACTTCTCGGATAACTTGACAAAACTCAGGCCTGGGATACCTGTAAACATGAAGATATTGGCTTATTTCTTTAACTTGTCTGACTATCTCACTTTAGGAAATTTCAAGTTTTGGTGTGGGTAAACAGAATCAACAGAATGCAAATGAAACATTTATTAAAATACTAAATTTAGTAAAACCCTTTGAGCTTTTTGGATCAAAGCAGCTATGTAAATACAAATAGCAATTACTACTTAAGTAATTGCCTGAATTAAAATTCTGAATATCACATTATGTTATGATGCACGAGGGAAAGGGAAGTAAACTCACATTAAACAGTTCCTTCTCTGTGCCAACCACTGGCCAGACTCTTGGATATTGAATGAGGTCTCATTTTATCCACATACCTCTTGGGAAGCAGTAGGGATTATTATACCCGTTTTACAGATGACGAAATCAAATTATAGAAATTGAGTAACTAAACCAGGGTCACAGGACTGGTTAGAGGCATTTTCAAGATCCAATCTTAGGTCTGTCTTTTTTGTGTATAGAATGGTATTTAAAGTTTTTATTCAGCTTAGAAGTGAATACTTAATTTTGATAAATTTTTTAAAAGTCCCTAAAAGAAATTTTAAATTTAACTTAAATTTGGTTTAACAAAAACATTTATTGACATATGCAAATCACTGTCTTTGAAGAAAAATACCAAAGTGTCCTGTTTAAAGGTGGATACAAATATTTATTAGACCTTTCATAAAGGAAGGGGTGGGGAGGGTGGGACTTACAAAACATAAATCATTTATGGTCTGAAACGGCACACAACAAGCAAAAATGAACCCCATGCAGGCTTTGCACACAGGCAAACGCAAAACAAGCCTTTCTCCTTTATAAGTATCCTCACTTTCTTTCCTGCCTTATAAATCTTGTGTTTCCTCATTGAACACATCATATGGTCTTTATTCTATTTCAGCTGTCCTCTGTAGTCCACATTAGAAATATTCCTCTTTTCTGATCCTTCCCAGCTTTTTGCTTTCAGTTCAGCCACCATTAGTAGATGTTTTATAACTTGAGTGTTTCTCAGATTCATAGCTCTTCTAAATGTTTGTTCCAAGGCTTTCTTAAGGATTTGGTGAAGGAGGTTTCTTTAAACTCTGAAAAGATTGTGGTTGTGCTGCCTCTGCTTGCTTTGAGGCCATCATATTGTTTTCAAAAACAGTTGACCCAACTGGGTACTTTTCTCTATGAGGTTTAACTTGCCTTCTGTCTAAACACTATGTTCCTTCATTTTCATTCTCATTTATTGACACAGCTCCATGTATTCCAGTCGCTTGCATTTTCTGCACTCCACAGTTGGCAGCTGCCTTCAAATAACCCCTGAAGGTTTTTGCTTGGCTAGTATACTTTGAGACAGTTTTACCTGATACACAGTTTCTGTTTTTGATTTGTGGCCTCTTGACATACTGCCATGTATTTGACTATATAACAACAACATTTGTGTTTACTGGCCCTGCTATTTGCAAAAAGCAAGGAACATTGAAATGTGGACATGCCTGGTATTTCATT